CACAATATGAGCATTTCTAGTTTGTTCCGTTTGAGAGTTATAAGACTTTTCCTGAGATCCCTGGGTTTGAGCTAATTCACTTGTGATTACGTGGAACAGCAGCCTAGCAGGGATAATCAACCATATTAAATCAATCGTTGAAATCGAGAATGCCAGATAAATTATTATTACTCTCGAACGGAACAAGCTAGAAATACCCACATTGTGTAGATCGAAACGAAAATAGTTTCAAAATATCATTCTCGAAAATCTTTATTAAGAATTCATCTGATTGATCAATTGCTGATCAATAAAATTTCGATATACTTCCATGGACTCAGGTATTTTCTATTGTATGATGAAAACCGCAGACTTGTTCGATATTCCTATTAGAAGTTAATCAAGCAACAGTACAGTATCTTATAGTTTGAAATAGGTAGTATTTCAAATGTGATCTATTTTCGAATATTTTTTATGTGTAGATATATATATACGCAATTTATATAATGCAAAAAAAAAGAAACATTCCTTATGAGCCATAGCATCGATAAATATCTACAGGATGGCCATCAGTATACTCTTGATTCATCTTCTTCTCAAAAAGTATCAGTACATGACTGGTTCGAAGACATTTGTTATCTACAGTTAACGTCCTGATGACTTCAATGATTATCATAACTTGATTTAAGTTTATTTTAATTTCAAATTTTCGCCATTTAAGTTTGAAAATAAATACTGCGTATGAGAACGAAGAGAAGACTCATATTAACACCCACACACATCATTCAGTGAACCAAGCCAAGTAATAACTTTGCTCGACTGCGATTTACTTTCTAATATCGAATATGACAAAATTTAATCGTTTTCTGAACTCGAAGCCTGTTTTTCTTGTTTTGAACTTGATCCTCTGGTTCTCTTGATTTTTCTTGTTGCTTTATTAAAATGAACAATTAAAAACCTTTTGATTTTATTTCATGACATTATTTCAAAACAGTGATATACTCATTGCACGTCTCTCGGATCTCAAGTATATTATAAGCAACTGGTCTTTGTACTAATATTTATTTCACAGCAAAAACACTATAACCTGAAATTCCCACAATGCACACATCCATAAAGACATCTTTGATATAGTTTTTACATATCCAATAGAGTTCGCCGCTTGCACTTAATACAAATACGTGCTTTTCACCCCAACCAACAATAGGAAAGTAGTGAGCTTTGAAAGCTTCCGATCCAAGAGCAATGACTGGATTACCTTCTCGAAGATTTTTTTGGATGAAGTTAGTTGTTTCGTCCCATGAGTCATATCGTATTTGATAGGACCATCCTGAACACTAGTTCTGCATCCATTTGGCGTAACGTGAAGGTGTTGGTCCTGTACGATTGTTTTCATTTGACTCAACGAAAAACCATTGGTAAGGATAATTATCTGTTGTCGGTAATGATTTGTAGCCTTTCATCAACAGACAGCAGCGCATAGCGTTGAGACCGCACACATAAGACCCATCGACAGATGTATGAGCTGCTGCTTTGCGCACCATCGATTCTGGTAAGTGGACCCAACATTTATCCGGGTGAGAAAGCATGCCATAGGTAGCTGGATATATATGCTCGTAGAACCCTTTCGATTGCTTGTCGCCCATGACTTGATGAAGTAATAAGAAACGGTTGATGATGAGATGAGCATCTAATAATGGTTCGATTATATAGACTGGAGCATCAAAGACGCTTGGAAAAATAACTCGTTTGTCACGATTCATTCACATTTTAGACTTTTCTCTTGAAAAACAAATAAACATGTGCTTTATTCTCTCCTCCTCTTTTAATAGAAAAACAGTCAAAGTAAACACAATGTTATTGAGTCAACATTTTGTGAAATAATCAAAATATGGATTATTCTCTTTATGAGTAATTGCATCGAAAAAGGCATCGAGAAATGATGCATGGATGTAGGTGCAAATGCAAATGCGACAAGACCTATATCCACACCGTGAAATGTGGAGATATGGTCAAAACTCAGGTTACGAAATTCTAGTTTACGACTTATACAGAGCTTATTTCTATCTCAACTTATTTTATAGTTAAATTCATGTATATTGTAATTTAAGGTGAATTACAATAGTACGCTAGCGACAATGAAATTCACCAAGTTTTCAGCTAGGTTAATTTTTTATTTAGGTAATTTTCAATCAATGTTGATTAAAATTTAACAAACTTGTAGCAAATTAAGATCACACAATCAATGATTTCTCATACAGAATGAATCTATTAGAGATTAAATTCCTTCACCTAAGTTTTCCGCGTTTCATTTATAAGATTTTCAAAAATCTCTACTGATATGCTTCAACAGTTGGTATGATTAAGACGTGGCCACCTAATCACCACGCTCCAAAATCTCTTCAGTAAAGAGTTCACAACATTGTGTGCTGGAAAAAAGGTCGAAAGGGATAAATATCGAAAAAAATTATGCCTCCATTAAATGGTAAATCTATGTTTGAATGTTAGTGTTTCGACATTTTTCCTTTCGACTTTTTTTTATAGCCAACCGGCGGCACGGCTGCCTCTTCTTAGGCAGTGCACATCTTTGTCATGAACTACAAAAACGACACGTTTTAATTCTATATGAAAGTTCTAATTACATCATTATCAGGTCTGCTTCTGAACTGTTAAATTATGATCATATATAAGCACGTTTTCTGGCAATCCGTTGAAAACTACAAGCGTCAAAATGACATGCACTGTATTGAGTAAATCTTCACTGAAGATGTAAGATAATATTGAATTTTTGCAAAATATATAACAGAGACATTCATCTAACAGCCTAAAGTTCAAATGCATTATTAGATATCATATATGAGCAAAATATTAAAATAAGAAACAAAACAACAATAGAAATAAAATCGATCGATTTATTTTTATTTATGAGTCAAAAAGACAGTTGATAAAAGTACTTTTACAAATACATAAAAAAAAGATGAGAATCTATCTATAAAAAAAAATAGACAAGAGTTCATGTAGTGTACTTTTGTATTTCAAATGCAGAAAACTAGGTTAATAACATGAAAATGAGCATGAAACTATTGAAGTGATTCTATATAAAAGCAGTGTAATTGTTTTTTCCTTATTACTACTTAGAGCATGTTTTTCAAATCACTTAAGTAAATTTCGACAATGCCTGTTGAGAATTTCAGTCATGACTAAATAAATGATTTTGCGCAAATTAGAATTGACTATAATCTAAACCAATTGTTATTTTTAATGAAATTCTATTCTCTCGAAAGCTAATGCTTAAACAATCCGTGTATGCAGATGAATTCTTTTTAAATGCACATTTAATTACACAATATTTTCCAATTTATTTGAAATATTTGTAATTTTTGCGCATAAATATAAGAGAATAGTATATATATATAGAGGTGCAGTTCCCAAACGCATGTATACAAACATGAGCTTTAATTTTCGCATCATGACGTACAAGATCATGAGCGATTCTTTCTGTTGCAGATACTCGCATGCAATAGTCTTGCGTGCTCATGTAAGACATATTAGTCGCATGAAAATTGCAAAATGTTATCGTCGTGCAGCTGCATTTTATCTAGAGCTGGACAAAAACTCTTCATATCAATATATAAAGACTCTGTATCCTCGTCAGAATAATCTACTAGCTAATGTGAGAACTTAGTTTTCGTCGCGATAAAATGCTGCCAAAGGAAAACTCATTCACGCTCTCAAACTGTTATATATTTATGAAAATTTATGTACACACATCTATAAATTATCTGATGATTTTTATATTCAATAGCTTTGAATATAGTTCTAGTGTAAGTAATTATCCAATGAACTAAAGTATGTAAGTTCGAATTTTATATCTGAAAAAAGAATCTTGTGTATCTATATTTGTTTGTTGAAGATACTTACGTTTTTGGTCATTTTACCCAAGTTTTCTATAGAACTTCTTGTGAACGTTTTCTTTAGCGATAGTCAATGTTAGATTGTCTACATTACTACTCTCCTCTCCATCATCTTGTAACTACAAAAAATTTAATCTATTTCATAAATTAATGCATAATTTAATTTTACAGAGAAAAAAATACCATTAAATCTATTGTTGATAGGAGACGCCGTAAGTGATAAAATCACTTTCAATATCAAACGATATAAGTTAAAAATTTTTTCAATGAATATTCTTGTTGGTAAGCACTATTCTATCTCTTACGTATATTATGTGATTTATCATTTACGATAAATCTATAACTGACAGTGAAATGAAAGAATTAAGTTCTGATGCTTAGATAACACATGCACACTTTTGTGACGTAAGAGACCTGTCACTTCCAATCCATTTTCAAGTGAGCATATTGAATGCAGTGTCTTAGGCTGTCGATTCGACTTTAGAACCTCAAATATAAATCTGCTTTTTTTTATAAAGACTTGTCTTGAAAACGTGTTGGTTTTTTCGTATCGTTTGAACTTCATTATAAGGCGCCTTTAACATTGTAATACCCCATATATGATCAACTTTAGATTAGATGAAGAAAATATGCATTTTCAAAAGCGTCAAAATTCCGTGCAATCTCTACTAAAAAACATTCATTGTTTGTTTTTTTCTGTCTTCAGAATAACTTTAAAGGAGAGCATTTTTTGTCAAACTATTACAGATCCAATTATGACATTTTTTTGAGTAACTCATTAAAAAAATACTCTTAATCATCTTACTCATCGTTCAATTAAGATTGTCTTAAAATGGCGTTTTTATCTGAAGAACACATGGAATTGAAATTTACAACATCCTATATTAGCTTATGCTCCAAATTGACTTCTTTACTAGAATTAGCTATAAGAAAAAAAAGTTATCATACTAGAAAATACTCTAAACAAAATGTAATTTCTGTAACAGAACTCTATAACCAAATAGAACTAGAATAGAAGTCTTGCCTGATTCAGTTACTTTTTTTTCTTATAGGTCTACTCTTAATTCAAAGAAACCAATTTTTTTATAGATAATAATTTATTACACAATGTGGAGCAATAACACAACAACAATAACAACAGATAGATCATCAATAGAATCTTTGATTGTTGCCTACTATTCATTAACTTTGATTGTTTTGGGCACTTTATTTAATATTATAACATTTATTGTTCTCTGTCGATCAACATTTAGAGATGCACGAGCAAAACCAACACTTCATTATATGCGTGCAATGGCAATCTTTGATATATTTATGCTATATGGATGGAATCTCGATCATTATCTCACAATTGTACACAGATTTCGTATTCTGCACTATTCTATAATATCATGCAGATTTTTTTCTTTTATTAGTTATTTTGCTGCTCAGTCGTCAGCTTGGCTACGTGTCTTTGTTTGTCTTGATCGATATTTATCATTGAGTTATCTTCATCGAACATGGTTCGGTCAATCGAAGAATGTTCTCATTATCATTGCATCCATTATAGGCGTCCTTTTACTTCTTAATTTTCATTTTTTTCTCTTTGTCTGTCATTATCGAGCAGATGGTACGATTAATGCTCTGTCTTGGCTGTATAGTATCTATCCGTTATGGGATTATGTCAATTTTGGTGTTTATAATTGTGCACCATTGGTATTCATGGTTGTATTTAACAGTGGTGTTATCTATCATTTGATTTGTTTTACACGTACAACAATCATTAGAAATTCTCGAATTCGATGTCGAGCAATTTCAATTACGTTAGTCATTACAACATTTCTATTTTTACTAATGACTGTACCGTCAACTATAGCTTTTGCATTTTTCTCCACATCAGACATTACTCTTTTGAGATTCTTGGATGGCCTGCTTTATTCATATCATATACTATCATTTCCATTATATTTGATTACATTGGATGAATTTCGACAAGAATTTATGACAATGATTACACACAAAAGAAATATTCGAAGAATTGCACCCGAAATCAGAATTGTAGCCCCTTCAGTTGAACCACAGTAGTTGAACTGGATGGCTTTCATCTCTATGTACTGATTAAAAACAATAATTTTGAATCTACTGGATTTTTCGTTAGTGAAAGTCTTGAGAGCAAGTTTTAATGCTTGTATCAAAATAATAAAAGGATATTACTCCAAAAAAATTATTATTTTATTTGATGGTCTTCTTCGCTAAACTATAATCAAGGGGAAAAGACGGATCCTGGGATCAATAGAATCCACCGGGATCCACTAAAATTCACAAGAACCCATCAGAACTCATTCTAAACCTATCAACATACATCAGTATTTTGAATATTCATCCAAGTAAGGAAATCGATGAGAATCATAAAATAAGAAAGCATAATTCAAAATATATCCTGAATGAATCGATGTGATTATCCTCTCTTATTTTTACAACTCTAACTATTCTATTTCACAAAGAAAAAATGGAGCACTGATGCATTATTCCAGGATTTGTTGAAATCCCGGCAGATCCATTAGAATACATGGAAATAAACTAAAAAAGACAAAGATTTGATCCTAGGATTTCTGAAAAGCAAGAAAAAGAAACCTTAGAAGCTAAGACTGGTAGACGGCAATGAATTTTTGAAAATTTCGATAAATTCCGGGGTTTATGCGATCGAATAAGATCCCCTAATATTCAGGTTTTCATTAATCGTTTCAGATTTTTACGAAACCTATTAGCTTCCACTAAATTATTGTGGGTTTTAATACATAATGTTGAAATTTCTGTAGAGAAAAACTATGATTTTTTTGAGCTAGATCTCTGACATATGTAACAAGAATCCTGCACAGGCTCATCGTTTCTTCCTGAAGAAACGTGAAAATCTCAAAAAAGTGTACACTCTGAAAATTTTAAGATACTGACAGAATCTCAATTGAAGTTCAATCAAGATGCTAAACAGTTTCTTACTATTTTGCAATCATAAATCATTCAGGAAGCTGCTGAACCTTGAGAAAATCATGTAGTAACGAAGCTTCAAGGTCTCGACAATATTGAAAACAGGATTCTGTTAGAACCCTGAGCAGTGTTAATATGAAGTCTAAACAAGGAATTTCTTAACGAAAAGGAAAATCGGTAGAAAAATGTGTAGGAACAAAATCAAATTGATTTTGTTAGAATTAAAACTAGATCTTACAGACACCTCCAGACCGTTCTCGTTGATTTCATATGAAGATCTTGTCAGAATTTTAAATGATTTTTAATTGAAAAAATTTTTTCCGACTGCACCTCGTAGGATTAGAATACAATTCTTTAGGAATGTTATTCGATTTCTGGTCAGGATTTCTGCAGGGTTTTCTGAACAGAAGAGAGGAGACATGAGTGCATAGAGCATTAGTCTGTAAATCTTCAGTTTAAAAACTGATTAGTTTATCGCAATAGGTTGTACTCTGTTATTTAACTTAAATTTAACCATCAATATCTTACATTCTCTCTCTGAACTAATATTAACTTGTATTTGAACTTTATGTAAACATACACTATTCGAAGACAAATTTGAAAAAGTCAATATTAGACTTTATATATTCATTACTTCTCATGAAACTCTACCAGTAGTAATTGATTTCAATTTGAAGAAAAAAGTATTTTTCTAATAATTTTAACGCGAATAAACTTAAGTCAGTACAAATGTTACTGAAGAACTTGTCTCTTACTAGAAACCTCTTTTTTAAAGAAAAGAGTTAGTGCAACAGTTAAGCGGACATTAAAGCCTACATTTTTCTGTCTTCAAGCTTTATGTGAAAATAAAATCCAAAAGATAACTGGATTTCACGCCGTAAATGTCATATTATATTGAATATGAATCTTACGAAGATTTGAAGAAAAATCTTCTATTTAGATTCTCTCGGTTTCTTTCATTCTTTTCCATGGAGATGCAAAGGAATATTAGAATAAAATGCACGTATGTTCTTGAATCCTTAGATTCATTTCAGAGTTAGCACAAAAAAGACAACAAAATCTTAAGTAACTTCTACGTTTCGTTCTGTTAATATTTTACTTAACATGCATAGAGTAATTTGTTGGGGTTCAAAGATCCTAATATCTTCAAAGAATCTTAAATATGAACTGATTAAAGTTTTAGTTGAACCATCTCATTATTTTTTTTCCAAAATCCTAAACTAGCTTAGTCATAAATCTTGTTAAAATCCTAAAAAATCAATCTTTGAGTAAACTCGTAATCAAAATTGTAAAGATCTTCGTGTAGCCTGAATATTTTCTTAGGAAGATTCTGACCATCCTTGGCCTACTCTAGCAAGGATCTGAAATATGCTTCTCCCTTAAGAGATATAAAGAGAATCCTGGAAAACGTTTAGAAGGAATATTCATAACAAGAGCATGTCGGAAAATGCGATAGGGTTTTGATTGAACTTAGACAGGATGTTGGTGTCGTTGTGGGATGTGGGAATAGCCGTGTCCCGTTGTTCTCTACACTCACAGACGCAACCACCCTAGTTCAATTGTCCTTTCAAAATTCGATCCTTCGATTGAAATCAATGAAACTGTTGTAATTCTATAGAAAAAACCTATGGATCAGATTCTTTTTCCGTTTGAGATTATTCAGATGTAAAACGACATGAGATAGAATATTTTCTTCCGACAACAATAATATGATGATAAATTATTGTTTATTATAAATCGAGTAAAAAATTTAATAGTAAATTTTCTATGATTGTCACTATCAGGTAATGTTCACATAATTCATAGTCTAAACAAAGAATTTCTTTATGGAATTTAAGAATTACTAGGTTATCTAATTGGAATATAGTCTTTTTAAGATAGAAATACACTAGACATGTGTGGAATCGACAATTATTATGACTAAAATTGATTGAAATAAATCGAAAATTGTTAATAATGAAGCATCAACTACGAAGAATAACTGATATTACGATCACAAGTCGTCTAAATTACGACAAGAAGTATATTTAAAATCAATTAGAACAAATATTAATCTTAAAATTGATGAAAACGAAAACTGATTCTCGAACAAGTCAAGACTAAAACAAAATTCAGTATCAGTGAATATTACTACTGAAACTACATCAGTTTAATTGTGCGACCTATTGTTTACTTGTTATAATCAAAGTGTTCATAATCGTCTTACTTAAGCGAAAATCTTCCCCGATGTCCCATCCGATTTCAATAATTGTTTGACTATGGACGCTACATAGTATTTTAGTAACCATCTTTAAAACATTCAAGTTCTTATTGAGATTAGAACGGAGCTATCGAATCTTTTAAATGTCTATTTATCAAAGGACCATGTAGGAATCCAGGTTTTTTGGAAAAGTTATGTTTTTGAATTTTTTTCTTGAAATTATTTCTGTTTGAAGGTCTCAAATGCATGACCTTTTCAAAATATTTTTGTATTATTGCCTACGTTTCGAAAAGGTAGTTGCAAGGAAATATTTCAAAAACATAATTTTTCAGAAAACTTCGAGTCCTACGCAGAGCTCTGGTAAATACACATATTAAAAATTCAATAGCTTTGCTAAATCTCAATAAGAACTCAAATTCTTTACGAATTTTCACTAGATTACAATAGAACAGCTATAGACAAAAAACATTGAATTCGGATGGAGGCAGTAGAGAAGGTTTCCTCTCTAGTAGAAGAAAAATATAAACAATTTACATAATATTTTTTGAAGCTTTCATGGTATTGTCATAGAGAAATACTGAAATCAAATCAGTTCTTAATCTTAGTCTCCTCAGCACTCTCGCCTTCATTATTTTGTCATTACAATACATTACTGAGAATTTTGAGTTTAGGAACGTTTTCAGACCATGGAACACTTTGCCATTAATAAAATAATTTCTTTTTAAATTTAAGTCTTGATAAAAAGTTGCCTCAATTAAATGATCATTGGTCAACAATGGAACAAACTGATGATATTTGTACAGAGACTCTTCTTTTTAAATCAAACATGAGCTAATACATTTTGAATCTCAGCATAATAAACCTTTAACGTTTCTTAATAATATATCGAAACAATTATCAGAAATTTGTTCATATTCAACATCACATGAACACATCGAGCATAACAAGAAAAATATAATCAATTAGTGAATGATTTTTCAAATAATGAAATGAAATTTTAAGAAATTCTTAATCAACATTATAGAAACGAATGTAAATACATATTAAAACCAATTAGAACAAGTTATGATTGAATCAAACAAATTTAATTTTAAATTCGAACCTGTATCAACATAATTTGATAATACATAATTTCCATCAAGTATTGACGATAGAAATGAGTTTGAACGTATTCCAATAATTTAAAGAACTTTCAGATTGTAAATATTTTAATATTATTAATTTAAAACAAGACTATACTGATATTGAACAGCATAAACAATAACGAACTGATCAAACAATCCAACAAAATTAATATGATATGGATGAAAATGATAAAATAAATATTGTTGAAAAAAAAGTAATTAATATGGATTCTAAATGAACATAATTATATGAAAAACTACAAGAACAGTAAATTTTTTTCGAATGCATGATTACTAAATGAATATCGACAAAAGAAATTTTCTCTTGTATGAATCTCTTTATAGTAATAACTAAATATCAAACGAAAATTGACTTGAATTGGGATCTTTATTAAAAATATTATTTATTTAGATTAACGAAAAATGTTTATCAATCTTTCTTTTTAAATATAAATCGATTATTTTCTATCGAAAGAATTATTTTATTCATTTTCAGAAATTCATTCTTGAATATTCTTTGTTTGTTTCATTCATTGATATGCTCAAATTTGTTCTTTTAAATACGTATATGAAGAAATTTTTAGAAAGAATTTTCTTAAGACTTTATTTTCATTAGGTAACTGACAGATTCATGTCGGTTGACTGAGCTGGTGTCGACTATCAAGTTTTTTTTCATATGACTGGCAACTCGTGATCCACTTGTTTTATGTGAACATGAATTATTGAAAGCCTGATATTATCATTTCTAATATATTTGTTACAGTTGTATTTCAACT